GCCTGGAATTCTTTAAAGTTGAGAAACACTGCCAGTAAGATTAATAATAACAATCATAATAATAGCTAACAGTTGTGAGCATTTGCCCCTTGCCAGGCATTATGTTAAGCAGTTCACATACATTATCTTTCTAATCTTCATAACGACTCCCTGTTACAATCCCCATTTTATTGATGAGGCTGCTAAGGCTCAAGAGTAGAAGTGACTTGCCCAGGACCATCAAACCAGTCAATGGCAGAAGCCCGTACCCAAGCAGTCCCAAGCCCCGACTCCTCCAGCTGCCTCTCTGGGATGGGGAAGCACTAAGGGCTGGGGGCAGACACTGTCCCAGGCAGAAGTTCTCCCTCAGGCCCCTCTCCACCCATCCTGCTCTGGAGGGGCCCACTGCCAGGAGGACCAACCGGCCTCCGGCTCATCAACACCCTCCCCACCTGTGTGCAGCACTGGGGCTCAGGGCCCAGTTAGGTCTCTACTTTGGGCTGAACTAGGTGACATGTCCAAGGGAAGGGCAGAAGAGTGGCCCCAGCTCAAGGTACGGCATCCAGTGCCACTCACAAGATAGAGTCCAGGATGCTGAGTCTGCCCTGCAAGGTTGATCTCGTCTCATGAGCCCAACTCCCTCTCCCTGTCTTCTTGTCTTTCTTGTCAAGAGGCCCTTGACACTTTCTCTTCCCCCTTCCTTCGCCTCCTCCTTGCCCACTGCGAGCCAAGTGCGCAAAGAGTGCTGGGGCCCCTGGACAGCAGAAAGCTGCAGTCCCCACTGAAGGCATGCCCGTGACCCACCCAGACTCTCCCCTGAGAAACCTGTCTCTTGCCTCCTGTTCCAGGATTTAATCACATGAACCGGAAGCCCCAATGTCCGGCTTTGTCACTTCCCCATCCAAAGGGTCCAGGGTCTAGGAGATCCTGGCCACTCCTTCTATATTGGGTAGGGCACCTGTTGTGACTCCACAGGAAATGCTAATGGGGATTCCAGGCTCCAGGAAGCCCCTGTGACCTGGGCATCCCACAAGGACCATGGCTTCCCGGATCCTACGGCAGACTGGGGTACAAGGTCTTCACTTGTGCCAAAGAAGCTGAAGGTGGGGGTGGGGACAGGCTGGGGGCTGAGGCAGGATGGGGGAGGGACTAGGGAGGTGCAGCCTTGCCAGGCTTTTCCTCTGCTCATTATCCTCTGCCTGAGAAGGTAATTAAGTCTTCCTCCCATCAAAGGCTGAGGGCTGGCTTCACCCCAAGGCTAGCTTGTATGGAAGGGAGATAATGAGCCCTCTCACCAGGGCTGGGGAGGGGGCAGGAGCCCAGCGCAGGCCGTGCTCCCGCCCCATCTCTCACACACACACACACATCCAGGAGGCAGGTTTGCTGCCCAGGGCTGGGGAGGAAGGCCCACTTCCTGGGTGTTCTGATGACCAAAGGAGACAAGCTACATTGTCCTTGGCCTTGGAGTTCAGGACAAGGCGGTGAAGGGAACCAGGAGGAGAGGAAGATGCCCCCAAGTCACTCTTCTAACTGAGCAGAGCGCAGGTCAGGGACCAAGGATGCTCTGGGAGCTGGAGAGGGGGAACCAGATTCCCAACCGGAGACCGACGGATGAAGGGGCTGACGCTGCTTCCTCTGCTTGGGCTGGGCATGGTGCTGGGCCCTGGGGAGGCGGGATCTCATTTGGTGAAAGCCACACCACACCCTTTCTGAAGCGGATTCTTGTCATTCCCTCGTTTATTCCCCAAAGGTACAATCTGAAGCTTGGAGAGGTTAAATAACTTGCCCCGATCAGAGAGGAATTCTTCCTGGTGGAGGGGCCTTTGAATGATGGGAAGACGACAGGAAGGCCAAGATGAGCTTGGAGGGGAGGCTGTCAGCACACGTGCTGAGGTGGTGGAGGGGCTGGTCAGGCTGAGCCTAGTTACAAGCGGAGGGTGAGCAGAGGGAAGGGTGATAGGGAACCCCCAAATGTTTAGGAGCAAAAAATTACCAATAACAGGAATAGGCCCTAGGAACAGTGTCAGGTAGGGAGAACAGGCCAGTATGCAGCAGTGCCAAGAGCGTGGTCTGACCCCTGACCTCAAAAGCACGCATTCCTGGGCTTTCCCAGGAATTCCCGAATTTCTGATGGCTGTCCTCCAACAAGGGAGGTGTTTCCTGGAGCCCAACACAGGCTACTCTGACCAGGGATAAGGTGTGTGTGGGGGGGGGGGGGTGGACTGTGCCATGACCTCGGAGAGCCAGCTGCTCTGACACTTGACCCGGCACAATTGGAATCAACCACACCTCTCTGAGCCTCAGTCTCCTTACCTGTGGGATGAGATAATAATGATGTCCACTTCAGGAGGCTGGAGAGAATTAAGCGACACAACGTTTGTGTCATAACAGACCTGGTCTGGGTTACCACAGGTTTTTTCCAGACAGAGGAGGGCCTGCATATGCTCACTGCTTTGTGAGGGATTTTCAAACCTCGGGGATGTGCACATTTAATAGGAGGGTTTTAGGCCAACCTCCAATTTTCGAGTAGTAAGTACCTTGCCCAGAATAGCTACTCAATTACCCTTAATCTTGATGATGAGAAGCTTGGCCATTGAAGCCCCAAACAAGTCACCAGACAAGTCCCCAAGCCCTATCCACCAGTTACTCACCCCCCACCACCTCACCACCAAGTCTCCTCTTTACAATCCCCAGGTGATTGGGTGCCCATGTGGACTGCTCAGGACAGCTTTTCTCTCCTGCCCAAAACTGCCTCCTTGTGCCAGCGGGTCAGACTGCCAGGCTGGAAGAGAAAATGCTTTGGGCCACAGAGACCTGGTCTGAAACTCCACCATTAGCGCTTGGCTCTGGGCCTAGAAGGCCCTTCTCAACCTGTCAACCCCCTTTGGGTACCCTTATTAGTCATGAACAGCTGCCTCTAGGAGTGATTTTATTAGGTCCCTTCTAACCAGGAGATCTCTAGGTAGGAGCAGGTTTGGATGGTGGGAGAGCACAGCAGAGGGCGTCTGCCTCCGGAGGCCAGAAAGGAAGCCAAGAAGGCTCTGAGCCTGATAACCAGCTGGGCTGGGGACTCATCTCAAAGGCTGAACACAAGGGGCCCTGCTTCACACAGGCTGAAACTATGTTATTACAGGAGCCCCAGAAGGAAGTTCCCTAGGTGTGTGATAACACAACGGCAACTCCTATGCTGAGTGAGATCCCTTCGGCCCTCAGAAAAGAGAAAGCAAATGGAAGGCTGAGGCTGGTATCTCAGGCAAGGTCTCACTTGGCTATGGACTCACTTTTTATTTCTGGAAAATGGGGAGATTTTCTGACTTCATGTGATCAGCCTGTGTCCCCCATCCCCTTGTCCAGACCTGATGAAGGTACCACACAGCACTGAGCTCTGGAACCCGTAGCTCCAGATGGAAGGACTGAGCTCCAACAGCTCCCTGAAGAAGGTGGTTCATTTAATCATGGACGAGAAGGGCTGGATCAGATATTTTGAAAGAGGTGAGACAGGCCTGGGCATGGAGGATAAGAACGGTGGGAAGAAAATATGTTGTTGTTTTTTCACTCAGTTACTCTGCTTTCAAGAAGATGCTGCCACAAGGTGTCACTAAAGGCCCAGAGAGGTTGCCTGACTTCCCCAAGGTCACACAGGCCTTCGGATGCCCAGTCCTGGGCCTTCCTTGCCAGACCCAGTGTGAATCTCTGCTCTCCCTCTGCGGTTGGGTGAGGGAGCCTTGCAGAGAACCTGTGCTATAACAGTGAAGTAGCCTCCTGGGCTCAGGGCTCTGAGGGGTGAGGATGTGTCAGATCGCTGGTGGAAAGAGCTCTTGGGTAAGGAAGCGGCCTGGGTCCTCGGACACTGTGGGGGGCTGACATTGCTGAGAGAGCAGTGACCCACCCCTCGTGCCACAGCCAGTTCATGGGTAACTCTTACACCCCCGCTGGTCTGCACACCTTCTCCAGCCTCCAAAGGAAGCCACTTCATAATTGGCCAGGTGAAGTGGGGTTTTGGACCTGGTGGTACACAGTAGGACCTTATTGTTTATCCTAATCTTTCCATCTTTTTTTCTGCCAGAAAGGTGGACAGAGGTCTGGCGCTGCTACAGCCATCTTGCTATTTTGAGGCAAAATCTCTAAGACAAAGGCTTTCACACTAAGAATGGGTGAAGGGGATGATGGAAGGAGCCTGGAGCCTCAACAGCCTAGTGGAGCTTTCACACTGGCCCTGGACTGTCCACCCCTGAACTACGAGTTATATGGAACAAATACCCTCCTGCCTGCCTTATGTGTTAGGACACTATTAGGTTTTCTTTTACTTCCAGCCATCCTTAATTGTTGGCTTCCCAGGTGGCACTTGTGTTAAAGAATCCTCCTGCCAACACAGGAGATGCAAGAGACACAGGTTCAATCCCTGGGTTGGGAAGATCCCCTGGAGAAGGAAATGGCAATCTACTCCAATATTCTTGCCTGGAGAATCCCATGGACGGAGGAGGCTGGCGGGCTACAGTCCAGGGGGTTGCAGAAAGTTGGACACAACTGAGCACATCCTTATTTGCTATCCTACCCTCCAACTGAGAAATGCTAGAGTCCAGCTAGAAAGGGATCTCTTTCCTCTGAGCTTAATATTTGCTGGGGAGGTCAGGACCCTGCGCTTCCGCTGCACTTTGAGTCCAGGACCCTCCTGGAGCAGGAACTGACCTGGAAGTAAGACTGAGTGTTGCATGTCAGTCACTCCACGAATGGACTGGATCAGGGACCACGTGATCTCTTACTCCCCTGTATCATTGCATGTGCATTTCCTGCTGCCTGCACTCTGTCCGAGCTCTGTCAACCTCCTGATAGCTCCTATTCATCTTTCTAAACCCAACCCTTGCTCCCTCTTCCAATGCCCCCCCTCCACCGCACCTTTACTGCATCCCCAGACGGATTAGACATTTTCCTTTGTGTCCCCGCAATACCCTGATCCACTCTTAGCACTGCATGTATCACCCAAAGATGTGATTCTACTTGTATGTGTTGGCGTCCCTCACCAGACCGGGTGTCTTTTTACCCTTATAGGCCGAGAACATATAGTAGGGGTTCCAGTCATCCAGGGAGCCATGGTGCTTTCGCTTGTGCCCCTGTTCAGGGTTTACTGAGCTCTCTTTATGATCTTGATGCCACATGGAGCGGCTCTGCTCTGCCAGGCTGTCACAGGGCCTAGAACATCCCTGCATAGGGGATCCCTGGGAACAGCCCCCAGGGGGCTGGACTCGGGGATGGGTACTCCCAGCAATAAGTCCAGCTGCTTCCAGCTTCACAGAGCAGGGAGGGGATGGAAGCCTGGAGCCGAGAGAGCAAAGCCTGTTCGTATTCTGAGTGTTCTGCCCCACCCCCACCCAGCCCTGCAGTTCAGTGGGGAAGGAGAGCGGAGTGCAAAGTGTCAAGGGCGATATGTTGCAGGACCCCACCTTGCCTAGGTTCTGGAGCTGGAGGGGTGGTCCTGGGGTGTCTTGCAGGGCCTGCAATTATAATCACTCCTCTAGGATTCAGATTTAGAAGTTAGGGATCAGGGAGGAGGCAGAGGCAGGGGTTTGTGATTGTAACCATCTGGCCCTGAAAGCTTACTGGACAGGGAAGGCCTTAAAACTCACCTCTCATTCCTCTGGACCAAAAACCTTCTGCACCCCTCCCCCATCTCCTGGTTCCCTTCCTCTCTCCCTATATGCATTACCTGAGTACCTGAGCACCATCAGCAATTCAGCATTTCCAAACCAGAGCTGCTGGGCCCATGCATGTGGAGGTCCTGGGGGCTCTGCTTCCCCTGGCTCCCGGGGTGGGCAGTGGGGGTGGTCCGAGGCCTTGGACAGCCCCTCCAGCTTCAAGTGCCAGTCTCACAGAGCCTTCCTGCCCTCATTCAAGTCTCTCTGGCATTTTAGAAGATTTCAGGTCCCACATCCAATGGGGAGGCACTGGCCCCCATCCCCGTCCTCTTAGGCTCTGATGGAGGGAGTGGTGGACAACAGGATGCCCGAGTGCAATGTCAGGAAACCTAATGTGTTCCAGGCCTAGGTGGGCATGCTGCTCAGTTACTATACACAGGGAGTAAGTAACTCCATCAATATGCCCAATAATCCTGCCTGGTAGGAATTGTTATTATCTTCTTAAGGAGAAGGAAATTTATTAAAACTAATATGAGAAGAAATAGAAAATAGAAATGCTTCTAAAATTCTTAAAGACACTGAATTTGTCTTCAAAAACTCTTCTTATAGAGAAAACCCTAAGCCCAGATGATTTTCCTGGTGAATTCTACCTAATATTTAAGAAAAACAAATAAACCTTATTATACAAAATCTTCTGAATAATAGGAAAAGGGGGAATTCTTTCCAAGTTCATTGTAAGAGGCCAGCCTAACCTTGATATCTCAATTCCCACATCTGTAAATTATGCCTATCTCAGAGGTAGAAAGCAGGAATAGGATTAAAGGAGCTGTATGTACAGCCCTTGGCATGGTCTGGGACACCCAGCACATGTTCAGTGTATGACAGTTGTTTCTACATGGCCAAACCAGGATTCAGATCAAGGCCTGGGTTTTTTCTGTGCCATGCTGATACCAGAACATCATTTCGCTTTGACAAAGAAAGAGAGAAGAGAGTTGGGGGACCACCATGAAGAAAACCTGTCGGGTGACAGCCGCTTAGCAAACTTGATCTCATTCAACTCACAAAAACTCTTCCAGGTAGGTGTATCAATCCCATTTTACAGACAGAAAAGCTGAGGTTCAGAGACTCTAGGACAGACTGTGTAAAATCTAAGCCAGGTCTGTCTGAAGACAAAGCTCATGATTCTCTGAGCCTTGCTAACCAATCAACTCACAGCCATGGAGCCCTCTAAACTTGGACTAAGCTGACTCTGAACTTCAGGGTCCTGTCTATAAACGGGGGGTGGGGCGGCTCTCCGATTTGTTGAAAGACAGATGAAGCCCAGGGAGTTCCCTGCGCTGCCAGGTCTGTTTGAAAAGTTCCCATGAACTAGCCCATCTGGGCTGTCAGGCTCACGCCTGCTAACCACGGCCTCCCCCGCAGGTCACCCCCTGCCCCGGTCCTCACACCACACCGCTCCTGGCATGAGGAGACGGGTCACCAGAGCAGGAGCATTCCTCCGGAGTAGCATGTTTTCACTGCACAAGCAATACACAGGGACACTGTATTAGCAACTGAACCAATTCAGAAATATATTGGATGGTGAAGGAACAGGCCCCTGTGCCCCATCTCCCCTCCCCTACCCAGAGATGAACACGGTTCCACCAGCAGCAGAGGTCTCCTCCCAGGCCTACTTCTGTGCATGTCCTCTCATACGCATGCATACATATTGGCACATGTCATTCGGAGGCTGTTTTGCACACAGCTGCAATCATCCTGTGTGTATGGTTCTGCAACTTGCTGTTTTCACTCCCCAATCCCACGTGCTATTTATATCTTCTCTGCTTCCCGAAGGATTTGAGGAGGTTCACCGGAGTTCCTGAGGGCGGAGTGCAGAGCAGCGAGAGAGCCCGGGCCCTGGAGTGACGCTGACCTGAATTGATACCCCAGCTCTGCCACGCGCACCTGGGGCACCTGGGGCCAGTCCCCAAATTCTCTGGGCCACAGTATCCTTCTCTGTGAAATGGGGAGAATGATAGTATTTACCTCCCAGGGTCAGTGTGGCTTTGCTCCAGGAAAGCGGGAAAGCAAATTAAGCATCTCAGCTCTCCAGCCTCCCTGGGGCTTAAAGAAAAGGACCTAAAGGGTGTGGAGGCCAGAAGTGGACCAGACAGTCTTAGAACTCAGGTTCTAGACCTCCAGTCCTCCTGTTTCCCCACAGAGAACAGACAGAAATGTGGGGTGAGCAGCAGAGGGGGAAGGTTGGGACTGACTTTGCTGCCCCGTGGCCGCGGGTCCCTGGGGTCTGTCAATTCATGCAGGATGTTCTGAGGGAAAGGGTGAGGCTCCTGCTCCCCTGGAGCCCACAGGAGTGGCCGCTGTGACATCAGCCTGGCCCTGCTTTCCCTAAGCAAGGGGAGAAACAAGCTGTGCTTATTCAATAACTGCCCGCGTCCTTTTTAAAAAAGTATTCGTTTACTTGTCTATTTTCGGCTATGTCGGTCTTAGCTGCGTCATGTAGGATCCTCTGTTGCAGTTCATGGGCTTCTCTCTCGTTGCGATGCTCGGGGCTCCAGAACACCCGGGTTCTGCAGTTGCGATGTGCTGGCTTAGCTGCCCCATGGCATGTAGGGTTTCAGTTCCCTGACCAGGGATCGAACCCGAGTCCTCTGCATTGGAAGGTGGATTCTTAACCACTGGACCACTAGGGAGGTCCCTATCGATGTCCCTTGAATGATTCCATGACCCTTTCTTTTGCTTCTGAGACCTGGTGGTAACTTTGTTCTCCCTTTTTGGAAAACAGGGAAAGTGAGAACAGGGAAAATCAGAGCTGTTGGGTCTCTGAACATTATCTAGCCCAGCCTCTTCACCTGACACCAGGAAACAGACCCTGAAAGGAAAAATGTAACTGGTCTGTGGATTGTTCCGTTATCTAGTTAGTGCAATCAACGTTCACTAGATTGGGGCCAGATGCTTTCTTTAATTCTCGTCCAGCACAGTGAGGTAGGTGTTGTGGTTTCCCATTTTAGGGGCCAGAGAGCTTAGGTCGCTTTCTCAAAGGGAAGCTACTAATAGGAGTTACAGTCAGAGGTCCATGTGTGAGTCTCACCAACCCACTGGCCAGGGGTGCCCATCTGCACAGAATGTCCTCTCTGCCTCCTGCCAGCACCTCCCCTGCCCGGCCTCATCCTCCTGGCATCACCACAAGCTGCAGCTCCCAAAGGAAGGCTCTCCTGGCCCCAGGGGTGAGCAGGAGAAGCTCTGCCCATCCTCCTGTGCCCTGCCTCTCCAACCTGACGCCCAGGACCCCTGAGCTCAATGACCCGATGCTGAATCTGTCTTCTCCCCAAGACTGTGAGCCCGCAAGGAGAAGGGTCTGGTTCTGATTCATCTCAGCACAAGGCCTGGCACAGAGGGAGCAAATGTGGATCTTTGTGGAAGGAAAGGAGGGAGGGGGAGGGGCAGAATTCCAAAGCCCACACTTTTTCCTCTGACCCACAACTTCTTTTGAGAGGGTCAAGGTCAGGAGACAAGTCCCCCAGGTTTTACACCCAGTTTGATCTCTTTCCCAGCTCCCCACCAGGCCACTCGCCTTGAACAGACGACAAAGCCTTGACCACAGATCAGCAGGGGAAGGACTTGGACACTTAGCCTTGCCTTGACTTTGAAAGCAGCACCTCCTCTGTCAATGGCATCCTCCTGTTCGGTGGGAGCCCTTGTGGTCCACGCTTTTCCTCCAAGGTGGGTGGGGGGCTGGGGAGACTCCCAGTGTTTATCAGCCAGAGTGCTAGAGTGGGGAGGACTGCGTTTCCATGGATACAAGCCATGGGAGCTGCTGGGAGATGGGGCCATGGTGTACACAGACACAGATCCACACGGACCTGCAAGAAAAATAGCAACAGATTTGCTGAGTCATTGGCCCCACATATTTATAGTCTCTGGCAAAGGCAGACCTGCCTATCAGAGGCTAATAATACTGCTGCAGCGTGTTAATTGCAAAGACGGAGTCTTCAAGCCTCCATTCAGACACCCGAAACTGCTCCTTGAATAGAGTGGGGCCCTCACAATGAGAGCCAGCACGCGTGTGAGGGTGTGTTTTCAGGAGTGCGTATGTGTGCAGGTATGTGGAACCAGGCTCTAGCAGATTAAGAAAGTGCAAGTGTCATGACAACTGGTCTGAAACTACCCCACGGCAGTGTCTGTTAAAAAGCACTCTGCAATCCCCTAAGGGATTCTAGGACTCAGCCCAAGTGGAGGGGTGGACAGGAAGAGGAGAGGAGCCTATCGACTATCTCCCTGGGATGGGGGTGGGGGACAGGATGCTGACATGCAGATCTGAGTCCTTCATCCCACAGCCCGTAGGGATAGCCCTGCTCCTCCGGCTCCAGGCAGTCGGTCAGTTAGAAGAAAGGGAGAAAAAGCCTTCTGCCTTCTGGGAGGTCAGCCCCAGGGGGCCACTTGACACATGTGAGATCACACAGGGGCTCAAATATGGGAAGCAAAGTCAGGGATGATGGGTGCCCAGGAGCCTGTGCACCGTCTTGAATAAACACCCAAGGGCCAAACTCAACTCGGGAG